ATTTTTTTTTTTGTGTGAATTTTTTATTTTTTTTTTTTTTTTTAAAAAAAAATTTTTTTTAAAAAAAAAAAAAAAAAAAACAGAAAAGGAATTTTATAATTTCCGACTATATCAACACAAACAAACCACCAAAATCATCATTCTATTTATTCACAAACAAAATAAACATGTTATTTTTGTTCTATTTTAACATTATCATCATCATCATCATCATCATCAGTTCGAGGTTGATCATCTTGATTGATTGAATGATGATCTTCATCTTTGAACCACCAAAATTTCATATTATTATCTTGTGTATAGATTTTTTTATAATCATAAATGATATCATCATCATCGTCATTATCATCATTATTTTTGAAATCGATTAAACATCTTTCACCGGATGTTGTTGCCAATAATGGTAATGATGGATGAAAACTAAATGAAAAACAAAACAAAACAAAAAAAACAAAAATTAGTTAGTTATATAGTTAACAGAAACATTCATTCATTTACCTAATACCATTAACACGATTATTATGTGAATGAAATTCATTAAATGATTTCAATATTTTATCATCCATTGTCGGTTGTTGTTGTTGTTCGTTGAATTTCAAATTATAAAATCGAACCATTTGATTATCACCAGTAGCTAAAATATTTTCATCATTTGGTCCATTTAAATCAAAATAGATACGTTGATTTGTTGGACAATTTCGTTGAATAATATGCAGAATTTCACCATAATTACGTAGATCCCAGCAAAGTATTTCATTATCCTTTTTAATTAATTAGAGAAACGAATGAAGAAATTTGTTGTTGTCGCTGTCGTTTTTGTCATTGTAAATACCTTTCGAGCACCACTATAAAGTCTAATATTATCGGATGATAAATGTAAATGTGTTATACCACCATAATGTCCTTTTATGGTTGCAATATTTTCCATTGTTTTGGAATCATATAAACCAATTAAACGATTAAATGATCCGGTTGCAAATAATTGATTATCATTATTACATGTTGATAAACATGAAATAATTCCTTTTGGAATGTCATCTTTGTTTTCAATTGTTTTGATTAGTAACATTATTATGTAAATATATTTCATTCGAATGTTAAGAAATACTTACATAAATAATCGGCATATTTACCCGGTCTTGATAGATCAAATATGCAAAGAAATTTTTCATAACCAGCCAGAATTTTTCTACCACATTCCATAAAACGAATCGAACGTGCCGATACTAATTCATTGACATTATTTTCGGCTAAAAATGATGAAAATATACGGCCCGTATATGCATCCCATAAATGTATCGGTACATCACGACTACAACAAAGTAAGCTAGAATTTTCCGAAGAACGACAAACATTGAATAAAGGAAAGAAGACAAAAGTAAATTCAATTAACAGAAACATTTTCAGTGTAAACAGAAATAAATAAATAGACAAAACTTACAAACAAGTAGAATAATCTAATGAATTCATATAAGGATACCAACAATAATCATAAATTATTTGTGATTCTTTTAGTTCAAGTACTGAATGCTTGAGTAAAAATGAAAAAAAAAACAAAAACAAAATTCAATTAGTTGCCTTTTTCATCATTGATTTTGTTTGGTTATGTGTTTGATTGACAATCAGTGAAAAATGTAAAAATTCTCATAATTGAATCGGTTTTTTTTATTGTCGAAAATACCTATTTGAATCTTTTCGGTATTTCGACAATCAAGATTCAATTAATCAAATTCGCCTTTCAATCATCATTTTGTGGGGTTTTTTTTTCATTTGGGATTTGCTTTTGAAAATTATCATTATTATTATTGGATACTAACCAATTCTTCTGGTTCTTTGGTATCATCCACAATATCCAGATTATTATCATGCAGAAATTTTTCCGGTAAATTAAAAATTCGAATACAATGATCATCACTATTTGTACATATACATGATCCATCAGGTGCCCATTGACAACCACGTAAACAATTACCGAATGAACGTCCTGGCCTAGTGAATTCAGATTCAGCTTTATTCACAAGAATTGGTTTTGTATTGAATAACATTTTTCGAGAATTTAAAAAAATTTGAAAATCAAAAAAAAAATTCACATTGAAATCACGTGATCATCAATCAATCAACCAAACTATTTCAACCAACATCGGTCACCGAGGTGACAATCGGTGAAATGATTTAAAAAAAAAAATTTAAATTTTGAAAAAAAAATCTTTTATTTTTTTTGTATACAAAAAAAAGAAAAAAACAAAATTCATTTTCATTTCATAAATAGACAGAGAAATAAATTTCACATTTTGGTAGAATCTTTGAGGAAAATTCCGGGGGGAGAAAAAAAAACAGACAGGGAAAGAAAATTGGAAAAATGAAAACAGACAGACTAATAATCATATGTTGAAAAAATGCAGATTTTTAATATCATTGGCTTTTTATTGGTCTTTTTGTTTGAAATTATTATTTTCCTTTGGATATTTTAGTTTTTCATCCGATAATAAAAACGAAAGAGGGAAAGATATATTTACACAGAGAGAGAGAGAGAGAGAGAAAACAGACACAAACCAAACACGAACACAAACAAACAACACACAAGTGTGAAAATAGCGGGGAAAAAGAGAAATTATTCAAATTTTCTTTGTTTTTGGAACGAAGAAAATTGAATGAATGAAAAAAGGTGAAATCCAAATGAATGGGATGATGATTTGTGGTGAGTGTGTGGTGATTTAATTTTTTGTTTTCCAGATTTTCAAGTATTGCCTTTTAAACGTAATCGTGCAAAATCTTCAAATATTATATCATCATTATCTTCATCATCTTCCCTGTTATTTAAAATTAAAGATAATGAGAATAAAATTAGATTAGTCGCTTGCCGGGGTTAAATTAAATTAGGAAATTCTTTGGGGGGGGCTTTCTTTCGAAAAAAACATACTCTAATTGAATTAAATGTCCATTATTCGTATTGCCGCTGCTGCTGTTGTTATCTTCACCAATTTTTTTACCATCATTTTTTAAAATATCAGATGTTTTGGTTGCTGCGTTTGTCGCTGCTGTGGTGGTTCCTGTTGTTGTTGTCATTATCATTGATGATTCATCATTTGGTTTTGGATGCATCAATATGAATGGTAATTCAGCAACAACATCACCACCTAATGGTCCTAATAAAAGTTTTACTTTTACTTTATATCGTACAATTATACCAAGATTTTCTTTCTGTGTTGGATCAATTATACTGAAAAGAAAGAAAAAGAAAAAAATTTTGTAATTTTATATTTTCAATGAAAGAAAATGAAAGAAAGAAATATAAGTTTTCAATCGAAAATCGATACATATTATTAACTTATTAAATAAAAACTTACATTGTTGATGATGCTAGATTAGTATCTTCATGTTTTAATTGGCCATCTAATGCTAAACCACGTTTATCTTTATTTTCCGATAATAATGGTTTTAGATTATAAACTTTGGATAATGTAAAACCTGGGCCAATTGGGCAACCATCTCTATTCAAATGACAAAAATCAAAGAAAAAAGAAAAGAAACGAATTAGATTTCCAAATTTGATAATCAAATCAACGAGAAAAAACACATACTCGCTTTCAATTTCAGCCACCGTACATTTATATTGAGCAGTGGAGAAAAGGCATATATCGGCAAATTGTCTAACAGATACTTTAATTTTTTTAACAGTACGATTTGAATTATTAGCTATATGAACATTAACAACAATATCTTCACCATGATGATATAGCTAGATTTTTTTTATAGGTTTTTAATGATTGAAAAAATGTGAAAAAAAGAAGAAAATTTTGAAGAAAAATTCGTTAGAATAGATTTATTTGAAAAGAAAACATCCATTGAACCAAACCTCTTTATCTAATGATGCTTCCAAATGTAATTTATTTGGTGACATAACAAAATCTTTACTTATTTCAATACAAGGTTGATCACCTTGTTTACTGGGTGCATAAACAATTTTTCGTATAGCTAATCGTACAGAATTACGTTTATGTGGTTTATCATTTACAGAATCGGCAACATATGCTTTTAATTCATAATCAACACCACATGGTTTACCAGTATCACCTGGTGCCGGTTGTAATGTAACCGATGCTGGACAATGTGGAGGAAGCTATTTTTTTAAACGAACGAAAAAATTCAAATTAATTTAACACCAAAATACATCCACTATTAAACAAACAAACAAACAAACAAACCTCAAAAAAGAATGGATATGCATTTGAACCTAATTTTTTAATCAATCTTTCTTGTAACCTTGTTAATGATCTCGATGTTGTTGCCGTAGCCGATTGTATTTGATTATTATCATTACTATTATTATTATTGGTGGTGGTGGTGATGGTGGTAATATTAGTACTTGTTGTATTTGTAATTTTTGGTGGATATAATTGTTCCGCAGAAAGAAATAGATCTTTACGAAATGTTAAACCTAATACATCTAAATCTTCACGACCATAACGAAATGCAGCCAATACATGGCCATATACTTTTCGTTCTTTTATATAATCCGGATCGATTAATACAACACCATCTAATAAATAGTTGATATAAAATTACAAAAAAATTACAGAAAAATTTTAACAAAATAAATTTTCAATATTTACCAATAGGATCGATATGATTTAAATGATCAACAAAATCTCTTTTACCAAGATAAACGGTAATCTTTCCATTTGGTGAACTTTTTTTAAACACCCTGTATAAACACATAGATAACATGATGATAATTAGTTTTAAAAAATTTTGTAAATTAAAAAAAAAAAAAATTTACAAATCTTACCTTGTTCCCTGTTTTTTACTATCTTCATTATTATTATTGTTACTATTATTATTATTATTCGAAGTATTTGTTATATTATTTTGTTTTATATCGATATTATTGCTATTATTTAGACTATTATTATCCATTTAATTAAAATGATTATGATGCTGGTGATGATGATAATCAGGGAGATGTTTGTGTTAAATTAGATGATAATGATTGATTGGTCGAAAAAACCACGTGTAAAAAACAAAACAACAACAGAAAAAAATCAATCAAAAAAAATGAATGTTATGGTGATTAAAATTTAGTAAATTTTGATTGTTTTGTTGGTAATTTTGAAAATAGAAATGTTTGATTGATTGCTGTTGTTGTTGTTGAGATCATCATCGATCGATTTGATTTGATTAAATTAATTTAGAAAAAAAAATTATTTAACAATTAGCTCTTTCGGGGGTAAAGCTTGGTTGTTGAGAAAAAATCCTGGGAATTTTTTTCTTTTGGTCGCCCGGTTCGTAATCTTATTATACGGCCAACAAGACAATTTTTTTTCTTTCTTTCAAGATGATGCGATGATCACATTCAATAATTTTCTGGATTGATCAATTCGATTTGTGATTGATTGATTTGAATCAAGCAACAAACAAACTCAGAAAAAGAAAAACAAACCTAAAGTGATGAGAGCTGAATTTATTATTTGATTTTATTTTATTTAGAGATTCACAAATCAACCAAAACAAACTAAAAGCAAAAAACTTAATACAATTAAAGTGGATTTTTGGGGACCAAAAAAAGTTTTTGCTATTTTTCATTCAAGATTCCTTTCACACACATACATACATCACACACATCCCCATTCCAAATATATATTGGGTTGATGATGATGATGATACTACCACTACCCCAAAAAAATAGATTGGAGCCAGATAATAGAAGGTAGTAGTGGCAGTATCTTATCGAATAGTAGTAGTCTGAATTCTTGATACAATATATTCCGGGGATTGAAAAAGAAGATCCGATTCTTTTATTCAGATGAACCACTACTACCACCTGATGCGCGTTAAACACAAATACAATGACTTTGGTGAATTATGAATTCGAATATTCGAAAATAAAATTTGAAAATGAAAAGTTTTTTGAAATTCCGCAATTTTAAAAATCGCAATTTTTATTTTTAAAATGTATTTTTTGTTGATTATAAATATTGCTTGTAAATACAAATCATCAATAATGTCATTATTATGGTTGTATAAAGATAAAAGGTAAAAAAAATCGAATAATTTAAATTAATACTTTTTTTGTTTTTTGTTTAAAATAATTAGAAAAAAATGATAGAAAAAAAAATTTCTTCGTCATTTATGGATGGCATCAGTTTATTATTACTCAGAAAAAAAATGAGTGAAGATATCCGGTAAACAAATAACCTCATCCATCACATCTGATGATGATCTTTGTTCTGATCTGATTTGAAGTGATAATCGACGATGATGATGAAGAATAAAAGAGAAGCAAGAAAATATTACAAAACAAAATCATTTCCTATATAAATTATTATGATTTGAAGAAGAAGAAAAAAAAATTCATTTTTTGCCGGTTTTTCATTATTCTTCTGTTGTATATTCCCTTTTTCAACAAATACATCCATTTTCATCGGTTTTATTTTCATTTTCCAATGGTAATGGTTTCAATGGAATTGCTATTATTTGGATGATTTGAAAAAAAAATCAAAAATAAAAATAGAATCAGTTAAACAATATTCGAAATAATGAAAATCAAAACAAAAACAAAAATTATCATCATCGTCATCAATTCAACAAAAACATAACAACGAAATTTTTTTCTCTCTCTCTCTCTGGTTTCCACAAAAACATCATGCAAAAAGTTTTTAAAACCAAAAATGTTTATTTAAGCCATCATCATCATCATTGGCAAAATCAATCGAATCGTTCGAAACAAAAATTACTGTTGTTGTTGTCATTCGAATCAACATCCTGCTTTCTCCCCTCCCCTCTACGAAAAAAAACCAAAACAAAATTTTTTTTTTGGCAATGGATGTGCGTGCATGCAAATTATTTGTTTTTATTTCATGCACTTGTGTGGTTTTGTTTTTGTTTCATTTGAAAAAACCAATAGATATGATATTTTATTTTTGACCCATTTTTCAAATAATAGTAAGAGAGAAAACATGCAAAATTCAGTGTGTAATGGATAGAAAAATTCCTATGGAAAAATAATATGTTTGGGCAAAATAAAAAAAAAGGAATCCAGGTAATCAGGCAGGCAGACAGGTGAATTATTTGATTTGATGTACCACCATATACAATAAATCAATCAATCAATCAACAACCACAACGATTTTCTTGTTGTGATGTTTCGATTGGTGTATCTTTAAGATCAACTTCGACAACTTTGGTTTGGTTGTTTGGTTGGTTGATGGAAAAATGGAACATGCACAAGAATCGAATCAGGATTTTATAGGAAAAAGAGAGAAAAAAAAGAATTCGGGAAAAATTAATTTCCGACATGCAAAAATTTCCGGATTTTTTTTTGGTAAAAAAATCATTATTAATTAAAAGGAAATACGTACTATCTTCTTTCGTTTTTTCATTTGCTTCCATACCGGGTAATGCAGCTGCAACTCTTCTAAATAACTATCGGGGGAGAAAGAAAACAAAACAAAAGGATTCAGGTAAATTTGATGAAAAAATCAATATCATCATACTTGTTTAACTTGATAACCAGATTTGGCGCTAGTTTCAATAAACATAACATTTAATTCTTTAGCTTTTTTTTCACCTTCATCCGCTGATATTTGTCGTTTATCTTGTAAATCAGTTTTATTACCAACTAACATTATAATAACATCATTACCACGTTCAGTACGTACATCATCAATCCATTTGGATGTTTGATGAAATGAATTTGCATCTAGTAAATGGATTGAAAAAGATTGAAATTGAATTGGAATTTTTTCAAAATGAATTTCCGACTAACTTGTTATATCATAAACAACAACAGCAACAGTAGAATCACGAATATAACTTGGAATTAGGCTACGAAATCTTTCCTGTCCGGCTGTATCCCAAAGCTGTAATCGTACGGTTCTATCTTCAAGATACATTGTTTTCGATAGAAAATCAATACCAATCGTTGCCTGATAAGTATTATCAAATGTATCATACATAAAACGTGTTATTAATGATGTTTTACCGACTTTTGATGGAAAAAAACGAAGAAATTTTAATATTTTTTTAAAGAAAATTCAAAGATAACATCAGAAACATACCACTTTGTTCGCCCAAAAAAACGAGTTTAAATTTACGTAATGGATTACCAAAATCACCAGATGTTGACATTTTTGTTTGTTTGTTTGTTGTTGTCACTGTTTGTCAAATGCAGAGAATTTGCAGAATTCGAACGAAATTGAAAAATTCGAATGTTTTTTTTACGCTGCAAGGCCTATAAGGTGTTTGGAAAAAGCAGGATTTCGACAGCCGATGAAAAATTTTTCAAAGTAGAATTTTACAAAAAAATTTTTTGATCACAAAAATTCTACCAAAAAAAATGAATGAATGAAAATTGGAATGTAGATGATGACGAGGATATTAAATTATATTGCAACTGAGGAAAAGTTTTTTTTTTGATCTTAATCTTTTTTTTTGATAAACTTTTCCAGGATAATCTCTTTCTTTGATCCAGAATTGTGTAAACAAAAACAGGGAAATAAAACAAACACAGTGTTAAAATTGCCAAATGTTTTTCATCATAATCATCATCATTTTCGGGTGAAATAAAACAACAACAACAACAACAAAATTTATGTTATGACAATCATCATCCGCAATATTTTTTCGGTTTAGGTGAAAAAAAAGAATCAAGCAGCAGCAGCAGCAGAAAAAACGATCGAAAAAAATAATTTTTTTTTTTTTTGGGTAAAATAACCGGGCGTACAACGCAGACGTGTCGATTTTTTGTTTTTATAATTTACTGCAGTAATGAAAAAAAAGATAGCATCCTCATTTGTGGGTGAGGATTTTGTATACAGCGAAAGTTAGACGAGAAGACGACCACTACAACAAAACACGATTTTGTCAACAATCTTTTTATGTACAGTCACATATTTCATGAATGGTCACAAAAATTAATTATTAAAAAAACATTCATAAATTCCATTCGCAAATTCGACTCGCACTATTTTTTTTTTTTTGATTCAATAAATTCCATAATCGAAAAAAGAAAAAGAAAAAACTTTTAATCAAAAATTTTCATTTTTTTCATTTGAAAAAAATGACTCAAGAAACTAATAATAATGTTGTAAAATCTTTACCACAATCATCATCAACATCGTCGTCGTCATCGTCGTCGGGAACAAAATCCAAACAAAATGTTTATAATAAAAATGAAAAAAATAAAAATAATGAAAATATTGAAAAACGAAAATCATCATCAACAACAACAACACGATCATCACATCGTGTACCGAAACCTGAATTTATGACCCGAGTAAGTTTGTTTGGCGATTTGTTTTGATATTTTGCTAAATTTCGAAATTTTTTTTTCATCAGATTATTGTACGACAATTACCACCAACAATGAATGAAGAACAATTTTTAGAAGTTGTCTCGCCATTACCATCAAATCAAGAATTTTATTATGTTATGGGTGATCTAAATCTGGGTGAATTTGCTTATTCACGTGCCTATATAAAATTCAATAATATTGATGATATGTTAATGTTTACACAAAAATATGATGATTATATATTTATCGATTCGAAAGGTAATGAATATCCAGCATTGGTTGAATATGCACCGATACAAAAACTACCTAGACGTTTGAATTCAATGAATGTAAAAAAAGATACCAAAGTAAATACAATTGAAAATGATCCAGATTTTTTAGCATTCAAAGAATTTATCGAGAATGGTGGTATATCATCATCGACACAACAACAAACAAATTCCGAACAAATATTGGAAGAAATTGAAAATAAAGATTCACAATCAAAAGATAATAAAGATACTGATCATCATCCGATACCACCATTGGTTGAATATCTGAATAAAAAACGTTTAGAAAAAATTAAAATAAAAGATGAAAAGAAACGACGAAAAGAAGAAATGAAAAAAAAGAAAAAAGAAGAGATACGTACGAAAAAATTGGAAAAGAAAAAAGAAAAACCACAACAACAACAACAACAACCGACGAAAATAATGGAAAAACCGATTGGTGGTAATCGATTAACGGAACAAACGAAAAAAGATTATCAATCAGATAATAAAATTGATCGAAAAACTGTCGTAATAGTCAGTGGCGCTAATAGTAAAAATAGTGGTAATAATCGAGGAGGAGGTAGTGGTATAAATAATGAAAGACGGAAACGTCAAGAAAAGCAACAACAACAACAACGATTGCCACCCCCACAAGAATCATCATCAATTTCGAATGCAAGCGGAAAATTGGATTCGAAAAAATTATTGTCATCAGCATCATCATCAGCTAACAACAACGAAATAATGGATGTTCCGAATTCGAATCTAAAAAATGATGGTGATAATCATAATCATAATTATCATCATCGACAACAACAACCGAAACAAATGAAAAATCCAAAAGAAAAGTTTAATGATAATAATAATGGTGGTGGTAATAGTAGAAAAGATGATCGTCAAAGAATTCGTAATAAAGATCGACCAGCATTGGAAATATATCGACCTGGAGTTGCACGGCAAAAATCTTCACCAACATCATCATCTAATCAACAAAATACAGATTATGATGACAATGATGGTAATCAGTATAAATCACCACCAAAAGAATCAACATCAATATCGAAATCGGGAACATCAACAACAACAAATCAGAACTATGGCGGTGGCGATAAACCGAAATACAAATATCGGGTATTTACTCGAACAAAAATTAATAAACCAAATTAAATTATAAACTCTTGGACACGATAATCATCAATATTTTTAATTTTGATTCAAATTTAATAAGCGAAAAAAACAAACAAACAAAAACAATCATCTAATAATCTTAATCATCATTACATTCGGGTTATTTTTTTCATTTTGTGTTGTTGAAAAAAAAATTTTCTTTGTTTCTTTGTTTCATTCATAATTAATAGTAATTAATAATAAAAACTGTGATGTTTTGTTTTCAAATTTGAATAATAATAATAATTTTTGAAAAATTAAAAATGCACAATGCAGACAGCAAACACCTACCTACCTATAGAAATAATTCCTAATTTGGATTAAAAATTAAAGATTTTTTGTTGTTAGGATTTAGAATAATGGACCATTCATGGATGATTTCATTGATCATCATCATCAAGACGACAATAAGCACGATAAATTAATAATGGACTTTTAACATCAGAAATAGTCAATTTTGTTTGTGCCGGTATAAAACCAACATAACCGGAAAATATTTTCTGATCTTGTACTTTGGCTTCACCACGTATAACAACAACAACACTACCACTTTCTTTTGCATCCAAACGATATTCAAATGTTGGTGAAATATGTTCTTGGCCAATTTCGATTGCATCGACAACATATTCCGGTACAGGTACAATATATGATTTGGTAAATTTATCCACTACCATTGGTTGACAATATTGTTCTTTTGGTGCACGACTATTATATGATAACATACTGCATAATGTTTTAACATCTTTGAATTTTGGTGTTAGACCAGCACGTACAACATTATCCGAACAAGCCATACATTCAATACAATCTATTCAATCAATCAATTAAATAAAAATTCAAAGTTTTTCAACAACAAAAAACAAACATACCACCACGAAAATAAGCATGTGGTTCATCTTCACCGATATAAATAGCATCACCAGGTTGTAAAATTATATAATTAAACCAGAAAACACTGAAACAGCCAATATCATTGGGAAATTCTTTGTTCAATTTGATAAATATTTTACGTATTGTTTCTAAACGTTGATCACTTTCTGTATGATTTGACCAATACCAACGTGCCTGTAATGATGTTAAATTTTCACGTATAATATTTTCACTTGAATTCATCATCGATGTAAACATATCTTTAAGACCTTGTTTTTTATCATTATTTTCCAGAAAACTTTTCAATGCCGCTGAATCGATAACATTTTTAAATTCGGGAACATTGTTCAGAAAAAATTCAATTTCTTCATGCGGACGGAAACCACATAATGCTTCAAATTCAGTTAATGCTATTGCCAATTCTGGTTTATGATTAGCATCCGGATAATGAAATGGATCATCATGATGAAGTTTTTCAGCTAATGCTTTATCAGGATGTGCCTGAATCGATAATGCTTTTCGTACGGATAATACTTTGAATAAAAATGGAAGATTTTTACCATATTTTGTTACAATACGAACATTGCCGGCATATTCCGGATAATTACTAAGAAAATGTAACAAGGTTATATTATTTTGATCCGGTGTTGTACCAACAACTACTGAAGGTCCAGATGGATGAGTTCCCATCCATAGCTGTCAATCACAAAAATCAATTTTTAAATGAACAAACAAAAAAAAATCTTTTTTACCTCAGCAAAAGGTGTATCATCATCAACCGTATATGAAGGCATCTGATTACGTAGATAACGTGCAATACAACTATCCATACCACGTTTACCCCATTCATATTTTTTAACACAACAACGTAATGGAATCACTGCGAAAAAAACAAAACAGCAAATAAAACAAACAGGAATTATTCAAAGCGAATGATAAAACAAAAAAAGATAATTAAATTTAATGATAATCCTCACTTATTAATTGAACGATTAATTGGTTTGTTAACGTCAAAGAACAGAAACAGTATTTTATGATGTAATGATGATCCAATCCAGAATACGATCAAAAAAAAAAACGAACAGTTTCAATGAGAATATAGAGATGTTTCTTTTCAACAGAAATATAGGAAAAAAGTGTTTTTCGTTTGTCTCTCTATTTTTTTTTTATAGTAAAGTAAACAGAAGATTCTATAGATTTTTTTTCGTTTCGGTCGTTTCGATTCTATTTTTTTTTTGTTTTGCACTTTGCTTTTCACTATTTCATTTCATTTTTATACAAACAAACGACGACAACAGCACAGCAAAATATTTCAACATTTTCACTATAATCATCATCATCATCATCATCAACAACCGAACGAAAAAAAAATTCAAATTGAACATGCGTATTGCAAGATAAACTTTTCAAAACTTCATGTCCACAAATACAAGATTTTTTCTTTATTCATTAGATTCAAAAAAAAACAAACAATTTTAAAGATTATTATCAGGATTTGATTCTTCTTGATGTTGTCTTCAGTCGTCAAATTCATTTTTTTACATCTACATTACCACAGATTCAATTCTTCAGATTGACTGCAGTTACATCATTCAATTCGAATGTTTGCAAAAAATGATTCGATTTTTTTTTTTTTGGTAACATTCTGTTTGAAAAGGCCAAAATAAGGTTACTCCCCGACAAAAAAAGAAAAACATTAAAATTTTTTTTTTTGTAAAATTTATTGATTTTTCCCAATAAAAAATTTAGAAAATGCTAGAAACAGAAGAATTTAAATGTCAGATTAGACAACTGGATAGTTGTAATAATCAAGGTAAGTTGATTTTTTTTTCTTCTAATCAAAATGATTGATTGATTCCAAAATAGAAATTGATTCGATTTGTAAATCATGTTCGGATTTTCTACATTCTCATTCAAAATCAATAATCAATAATGAAAATATTGATCTGATACGTTCACTTTCAACATTCATTATACAGGCAATAAAATTTCAACTAAATGAAAATGATTTTCAACAACGATTATTATCAATGAATTGTAATGAATATTTTATTGAACAATTTACAAAATTTTATCAAAAAATCGCCGAATCAAATGTCATCGAATCAGCATTGATTAAACGATCATTCATTGCATCCAATTATAATTATTATAATCATTTACGTTGGCGTTTTGAAATAAAATTATCAAGTAAATATTGTCGAGAAAAATTTCAGCCAAATATTTTATTGAATTTTTTTGTAAAAAATTCCGTACAAAATCAACAAATGAAAAGAATACAGGTAAATTGTTCAATAGCAGATATAATTTATATTTATAAAAAAATTACCGAAATTATTGAATCGAATAATTCATTTTATTGTACAAAATTATTGAAAAATATTAAATTGTAAAATACAAATCCAATTACAAATACAAATACAATCATTTCTTTTTAAAAAAATTCATAATACTTGATTGTGTTTGTTTTTTAACTTTGAGAATATTTTTGGTTGGTTCCGGTGGTTGCTCTTGTTTTGGTTTTTGCGGTTGCGATGACGGTTTATCATTAACATTTTTCATTTCAATTTCTTTGTTGATTATATCATCAAATAGTTTTTCATCAACGTCATCATCGAACATATTTTCATCATCATCATCATTTTCAATTTTAATTCGTTTATATTTTTTCGATGTTTCTTTCGATTTGTTTGTTCCATTCGATTGCTTTTCATCACCATCATCATTTGGCTGTTGACGTTTTTTACTTGGTGATTCCACCGTTGTCGATTCAGTTTTTATCGAAATTTTTTCCATTAATGATGGTTTTTGTTCACCATTTTGTTGAGGTTGTTGTTGTTCAACTATCAAATCACGTTTATTTGGACGAATTCGAATCTGATCATTACGAATATAGGTTGTTTTTTGTATTGATTCAAAATCTAAATCACAACAACGATCATCAAATATCGGATATTTATCAAAAACTAATTCGTTTTTGATTGCGTTCTTTCGGGTACAAACACCATAAACATAATGATGAACATTTTCGTGTGAATTTTGATAAAAATTTAAATCATCTTGGCCGTTAACGATTAAAAATCTTTGAAGCTGAAAAAAAATCAATTAATTTTTAAATTAAAAATTTCTTCAAACAAACATTACCGTTAAACAATTTTCGGTTGCCGGTTCAATCCAATGTACGTAATAGCTAACGGACAAACCACCAAGATCTTTATTGTTGGCAGTGGTAATAAATTCATTCAATATTTCTTTAGCATCATCAATATGTAACTGATATTTTCGACATAAATCATGTATGGTAATCTAGTGATCAAAGAAAAATTTTTAGAAAATCAATTGATGATCAAAACAAAAATCAAACCAAACAATAATTTACCTGTGAATTATCTTTGATTACCAACGTTTTTAATTGCTCAATTATCTCATCTTTTGATAGTAAGGCCATAGTGTTGTTGTTGTTTTATCAACCAAAAATAGATTTTTCTTCTTTGATAATTTTTGCATCGAACAAAATACAAAACACACACACATTTATATTGCGCCAAATTTTTGTTATCATCATCATCACAACTCATGTGCTATTCATAATAAACGTATCACGATTTTTTTCAAAAATCAAAATGCGGGAAATCAAAACAAAAAACTTTATTTCAAATTTTATTATTTAATTATCATTTAATTGAATAGATCAGAAACACACATTAACACACTTAAAATGAAAACAAATTTTATAATTTTCAACTGTTTTTTTTTGTTACTCGAAATCCATCATGGAATCCATCAGGTTCGATCGAAATTTGTCGATTTGTTGGATGCAAGTGTCGCTTTTTTATTTTGTTTTTTAGAAATATGGAATTGAAGAGAGGGAGATAGAGAGAGAAGAAAGAAAAATATAAAAATTTAAATCAAAAATCATTTTGTAATTTTTATTATTTTGTTTTGGTTTGTGTTTTGATAAGTTTTTTTTTCAATTTCATAAACGAGGGAAAGAAATTACAAGCAAATAAAATAAACAGAAAAAATTCATTCCAAAAAATTGAAAATTTTAAAGGAAAATCAAAATTAAAAGAAGAAAAAAAACGATCATTTTTGACCATTTGTGACAGTAATGTTTTCATCATCATCATCATCATCATTATCATTAATATTTAAAATTTGTTTACGAATTTTCGAAGCAGCTCTAATTCGATCAATTATATTGGATGTTGTCGATGATGATGATGATAATGATTTTCGATTTTTATTATCATCATTATCAACAACACCAGAAGTGGTACTATCATAATCATCATTTCTAAGAAATCTTGATCTAATAATACGTGTTTGTGATTGATCACGTAATAATGATGAACTGCGTCGAATCGAATCGAATGAATTGAATCGTTGATATGAACGTTCGATTTGATTCTTGATTAGATTCATTGTTGATGATCGATGATAAATTCTGTTGTTGTCATCATTGTCATTATTGTCGTTTTTGCTTCGATCATCATATCGTTGTTTTACGAATGAATTGTTTGAAAAACTTTGTGAATATAATCGTGGTCTTCGTCTTAGCTGTTGATAATCATCATCATCATCATCAAACGAAGAATTGAACAATCTTGATACAGAACTTTGTCTTCGCTGTCGTTGTCGTTGTCTTTGTTGTTGATCATTATCAACTGAATGATGATTATTAAAACGTGAATAATAACTTTTACGATGTATACGTTCTTCAACTGTTTCATTATTAAAAGACGATGATGATGATTTCGGTAATGGTAATAATGGATTAGTTTTTGTCAACAATAACGATGATGATGATGATGATGGTGATTGATCATCAAATCGATTGTTCATCATCGATCTAGTTCGACTTGTCGAACGATTCAATATTTTTTTATAAAGATAATCATCATTATTATTATTATTGCTAATATCATCATTATCAATCGATTGTTTTATCAATCTTTTTTTTCTTTCTAAATAGCCATTAATGTCGATGTTATTTTTGTCTTCATCGTTGCGATCGGCTACTGATGTTGATGTTGATGTTGATGTTTTGTTGTTATCGTTTTTCAAACAATTCTTATCATCATTATTATCATCATTTTGGACATTAACGTTTCGTTCTACGATAATAAACAATTAGTGTTTGTGGAAATAATAATCCTAACCCAATAACCCTTTACTATTTTTAGTTAGTTATATCAGTGTTGAAATTCTTTTATTCGTTTGCTCATTCTATCACTATATACACCAAACACTTATTCAATATTGATGGTGGTTAGTCACAAATGTTAAAATAGTCAAATGATCAACAAAAAAACAAAACAAAAATCAAGCGAAAAATTTCAAGACAAAAAAAAGTGAAAAAATAAAATTTACCTGATGATTTATTCGACGATGATGTCATCATACTTGCTGATGATGATTCAATAACAGTATTGGCTGTTGGTAAATCTTCTGTTGATGATGAATCCGATAAACGACGATCAACTAATTTTTTATAACCAAATGTACGTAATTGTTCCAATAATGAACTTGGTTCTTCAATTTTTAATTCATTTGTTGCAGCAGTTGCTGTCGATGTCGATGTCGATGATGTTGATAAATTTTTATTCATCATATCCAAATTCACCGGTACAATATTCGTTTGATTCAATATTAAACCACCGGTTTGTTCATCTAGTTTAAAATTTAATTGTATATCTCTTGGTATAATATTATCCGATGTTTTCATTTGACTAGTTTTATGTCGGATAACCTGACATGTTGCACTTGAATCAGTTATTTCAACATGTTTAATAATATCGGTTTTAACATTACTATTTTTACTTGTGGTAGTACCGGTTAAATTAATCGGATTTGTTGTTGTTCGTGAAAAACGATTTGCCGGTTTTCTCATCATCATCATTGTACCATATGTATTCATACAATTATCAAAATCTTTTCTTCCATCACTATAATCATTATCATTATCACGATGATGATGATTATCCAGCCATTGTTCAATACGTGATTTATTTGTAGTTTCTTCTAATGGATTACCATTATCATTATGATCATCATCATCAAACATCATACGACGATTACGGTTATTAAAAAAATCATTTCTCATTTGATCAGCTGATGATGCGGATGCAGATGCAGATGCAGATGATACAAATCGACCAAGACCATATTTTTGTTTTAAATCATCAATTCGGGATCGTCCACGATCAATTATATTATCAAAATCAACAGAATTTTTATCATTCATCATTGATGATTTCGAAAATGATGATGAATTTGAAAATATTGATTTTTGAAACAATGATTTATGTGAACCAAAACTACTATTTCCTTGTCGTTCAAACAAATCACGATCACGATATGTTGTTGGAAATTTTCTTTCCGATCGAATTGAATCGGTTGATCTTCCGGGGAAAAAATTTGCAGTACGTTCGAGACTTTCGGCACGTGATCGAAGACTTAACTTTTCACTTCGACGACCGAAAAAATTATTAAATAAACTTTTTGCATCCGAAAACAAACTATCAGTCCAATGATCTTCAAAAATATCATCAAAAATATCCAATGAACCAGTTGAACTTTGACTATCCGAACGTTGTAATAATGTTGTTGCTGTTGATGAATTATTATCATTATTATTATTGTTTTTAATCGTTATTCGACTTGTTTTTTCCACCCGGGTAGTAACACCATCACCTTCATGTGAATAAAATTTACCAGTTTCGGTAATTTTTGCACCATCTTTTGTGAAGATAATTTTTTTATAACTTCGTGCAATTGGTGCCGGATTCACTACAATCGATTGATCTATCGATGTTGATGATGATAATTGTTGATTAATATCTTTGGTCGTTGGAGTCGAAACACCACTACCACTAGCAACATTATCCACCAATGTATCATTTAGACCGGATTTTGTTCGAAAAAATACATTCGATGTTGATGAATTTGGACTATTTCGCATCATTGACGAAATAGTCGAATTTTCAATCGAAATTAATGGTGTTGTTTCACCGGATTGTAAATCCGTTGCCGTTGTTGTTGTTGATTGTACGGATGTTTGCCGTTTTTCCATTAATTTTGCTTTAGCTATATTTTTCTGTATAATTTGTTTGGCCAATGATTTATCATCTGATTTAATTGATGATGTACTTGATGTTTTCGATGTCGATGTTGTTTTTTCATCAACAAATTGGCCACCATCATCATCTTTGATTGTTGATTTCAATGGTGATTCTTCTTTTTCGGATTTCAACAATTTTGATTTATCATCTTGATCAACAACAACGGTTTTATTCTTCTGTTCATCAATCACTTGATTCAAATTCAAACTAATGCTACGATTTTTATATTTTTTAACATTTTCCATTATGGCTGCCGACGATTGTTGTTTCAATTCACTTGTATCGGCCAATGTATCACGTCTTTTTGCCAATATTGATGATGGTACAGCGTCCAATTTAGTTCGTTGTTCCAATTCTTTTTTCAATTCCGAAACGGAAAATAAACCCGGTGATTTTGGTTCTTTGCGTGGACTTCCCATACTGCTATTAGTACTGCTTGTTTTTAATTTTTCCTGATTATTATTATCATCCCATATTTTTGGTATCGATATTCGGCCACGTTTTTTCGTTGTTATCGAACCAGATGATCCAGTAGATTTTAAACTTGTTTGACTTGAATTTTTATCATTTTTATCAATTGTTGTTGTTGTTTCATTTTCCTCAATTTTTGCCGATGTTGGTTGTTCATTCACTGGTGTCGAAATAGTTTCGAAATTTTCTTTTTCTTGATCAATTTCATCGATTGATTTTTCCTGATTAGATTCCGGTGATGGTTTCTCATCAACAATCTTTTCTTCTGGTTGTTTGACCAAATCATTTGCAGTTGTCATAATTTGTTCATTTGATAAATTTTTCTTTGATTTCTTTTTCGTTGTCTTTTTACCAGCTAAATCAGCTAAACTATCATTTGCTGAATTTGTTTCATTTGGTCGTTTATTTGATTGATTATCGCCAACATTCGAATCTGCTGGTTTCGGTTGTTCATCATTTGATGGTGTTGCCGAAGCAGCAGCAGCAGTGGCAGCAACAGAACCAGGAGCTAATGCCAACAACATATCTAATCGTACAGCATGATTAGTCAGGTTGGACATATCTTCAGCAACTTGTAGCAAAAGATGTTCGCTATCTTGATTTACCCATGGATCCATACAAATATCGATAATTGATGCACGTTCTTTTGGTTCAGGTGTCAAAAGTTTATGAATCAATTCGGTAGCCGCTAAAAAACGAAAAAGCAAAAATGATTATCATTTTTTTACGAAGAGAAACGAAATTCTTACGAGATTTTTCTGGTGGCTCGAAAAAATTTGCTTCGGAAATTTGTTTAACTAATTTTTTAAAATTACTACCATCAAATGGCATTGCACCATAAACCAATGTATAAAGCAATACACCAAGTGACCAACAATCAACTTCAGGACCAAAATATGGCAGACCACGAACAATTTCCGGTGATGCATATAATGGACTACCACAAAATGTTTGTAGAAAATGTTTATCATCAAATACATTTGAAAGACCAAAATCGGCAATCTATCGATGATGCAATCATCAGAAAAGAAGAAGAAATCATTAACAAGATTTATCATCAACATTTAGCATTATCATCATTACTTTTGCATTGCCTTTTTCATCCAACAGAATATTCTCCAATTTCAGATCACGATGACAAATTTTATTCTAAAAATGAGTGAGTTTTTGAATGAATCATTAATTAGATTTCGACATTTAAACATACTTTATGACAATAATAGATGGCTGTAGCAATTTGACGAAAAACACGTCTAGCTTCCATATCCGACAATGCTTTATGATAGCTAACATAATCATATAGTTCACCACCGCTTGCATATTGCATAACCAAAACGATTTTATCTTTATTTTCGAAAACTGTATGAAAGAAAAGAAAGATTTCATTTTGAAAAATCAACTAAAAAATAACAAAAACAAAACAAACCTTCAAAAATATGTATAATATTTGGATGATTAATCGATGACATGATTTGTATTTCACGTCGGATACGAACCAAATCTTGTTGATTGGAAACTTTATTCTTTTTGATCGTTTTGATTGCAACCTAATTTTCGTTTCGTTTTGTTGATGTTTTCATTTTAAAAAGTTCAACCATAAATCAAATCAAACTGAACTTACCTCCTGACCAGATTCATTATTAATTGCTAATTGTACTTTACCATATGTACCTTGTCCAAGTTTTTTTACAACTTGAAAACGTTGTTTCAGACGATGTGTTTTACGTTTAGTTTTTCCATCCAAATTTGATGATTGTTGCTGAATATTATCATTATCATCTAATGATGATGATGATATTAATGATGATTTATTAGCTATTAAATGATCACTATTTTTTATATCACATTCGGCCATTTTTTTTGTTTTTTTTTAAATTTTTTAAAAATTTCAATTAGAAACGCATTTTCTCAAAAATCGAACACATCACACACAGAGACACATCACACAAGCGAGCAATTCGAATTGTACAACAACAAACGAAAAACGGGAAAAAAATAACGTTCGCGAACTTTTTCCTTTTTCTTTTTGCTGATTGAGAAAAAAAATTGTTAAAATTGAATCGAAACGCAAATTCTTTCCTTTTCGGTTCGTTCGTTCGTTTATTCTTCTTTAGATACGCCAAAGTTATGTTCTCGGCCAAAAAAAAAAAAATATTGCTAACATTTTTATTTTCCAAAAAAAAAATTTTTATTAGCATCATCTTCGAAGTTCTTCAGATTCGTTGCTGCCACCACCGCCATGATGATCATCATCCGATCAGCCNCCTTTTCGGTTCGTTCGTTCGTTTTTTCTTCTTTAGATACGCCAAAGTTATGTTCTCGGCCAAAAAAAAAAAAAATATTGCTAACATTTTTATTTTCCAAAAAAAAAATTATTATTAGCATCATCTTCGAAGTTCTTCAGATTCGTTGCTGCCACCACCGCCATGATGATCATCATCCGATCAGCCACGCCACAAAATTTAACTTTCAAAAGCAGCCAAGCCTTTTCTTCAAAGATGAAAGAAAAAAAACGGAATATATTCATCCGAATATCGTCATCGTCATCATCATCATCAGCAAACCAAGCAATACTTTTCGACTTGATTCATTTCAACTAAAGAAAGAACAACAAGAAAAAAAATTATATAGCAAAAAGAATAACGATTCTGGTGGTGGTGGTGGTGGTAGTTGGTGGTGAATAAATGTCGGTCGCCAAAGAGAATCATCAAGAATTCTTTGATTCCTATGATTAAGCGGTAATATTCTTTCCCCATTAGCCAATTTTCTATACAGAATTCATGTCCGCATCCATCAATTTGAAAGAGACGAAAAAAATGATGATTGATGCGGTTCAATCAAGAATTTTTTTTGTTTTGTCTTTTGAATAAATAAAAATTTGATTTTATTTATACATCATCACAATCAGAGAAAGAAACACAAAAAAAAGAAAAGAAATTAAAAGATCACAATTAAAAAAAAGAAAATGAATAATTTTAAATAAATGAACTGAGGGAATCCGGCTGCTGATGATAAAAACTTGAATGGAACGTGTCGTTTTGTTTGTTAGTTTGTCTATCAAGACCATTGCCATAGATTCCATGATGAGGTTAATGACTTGTTGCTACTGTTATTATTTTGATTTTGATTATTGCTACTATTGAAATTTTCAGATAAAAATTCATAAAATATAGCCGTTTCTTCGCCAGTTAATTTAAGTATTGTACTCAAAACATTAATCAATTGTTCTTTTTCATCCGAACGTTTAATCGTAAGAAACTAAAAAAAAAGAAATTAAAAATCAAAAATCAAAAATCAGAAATCAAAAAAATCAAACCTTAAGAAGAACATTTTTTAAATATTCAAGATTATTTGCTATATCGATACGATCAAAACTACGATTCAAACGACGAATTTCTTCTTTCAACAAACGATTCTGTTCGGTTAATAAATTGATATTATTTTCACTTTCAGCCAATAATTGTGTTAGATTTTCAAAATTTTGTCCATTTACAATTTGACCATTATCATTAACTGTTGATGATGGTGATTTTGTTGTTGATTCGGTTAGAATTTCTTCAAGAAAATTTCTTTCCAAACTTGATGATACATTCGATCGAATGGATAGATTTTCATCTTTTATCTCTTCGAACGATGTATTCGAATTGATTATTGAATTTGAATCATCAGATGGCGGTGATGATGATGATTGATTTGTTTGATTGATTCGTTGTTGATGATTCGATAATTCTTCTTCCAAATCTTTAATTTTATTTTCATATTCTAAACGTAATTTTTCCATCTGTTCACGATTCGTATCCGATATTTGTAAACGTTCACGTGCAAATGATATTTGTAATTGTTTTAATAGCTGATTTAGACGATCATTTTCGCTAGTTGATTGTTGGAGATTTTGTCGATATTTTTCCACGTCTTTCAGTTGATTATTTGATTCGGATAATTTCGCTGTCATTGCACTTATTTCTGATTTTAATTTTTCAACTAAATCTGTCGATTTTTCCGATTCATTACGTAATTTTTGATTTTCTTGTTCAAAATTTTCCAATTTTAAATTTAATAATTCTAATTGACGATTATAATCACCATGATTTAATGATTTATTTTCTTTCAATGCAATCGCTACTTTTGATTTATATTCATCAAATTTTTCTCGATTATTTCGTAGATCCATTTCACTTAATTCTAATTTATTTTTCAATTCATAATTTTCCAATTCTAAATTGTTTATTTTTTCCGATCCGGATAAACGTAAATCATTCAGTGATTTTTCCAATCGTTCAATTGTTTCACGTAATTCCGATTCATTTTGTCGAAATTTTTCCATTTCTTTTTCATTATTCTGAATGATATGTTTATTTTCGGTAATTTTTTCAACAATATTTGCATTTTCCATTTCCAATTTTGAATATTTTTCAATCATTCGATTTTGTTCATCAATTTGATTGGAATTTTGTTTTAATCGCTCAGTTTGGTCAGATAATTGTTGAGATAATTGCTCAATCATATCATTTTTAATTTGTAATTCTTTTTGTAAATCATTTATTTCGTTAACTTTTCCTTGAAAATCTTGAATTTGTTGATCTTTTTCCAAAAGTTTTGTTTCATAAACAATTATTCTGCTTTCATATTCTTTTATCGATTCTTTTTGCAGATCAATTTGTGATTCTTGTTGTGTTTGTTGATGTTTTAATGATTGAATTTCTTCTTTTTGTTCATTATTCTTTAATTTTAATTCATTCATTTCATTTAAACATTTCAATAGATCATTATCCGAATGTTTTAATCGTTTTTTTAATTGTTCAATTTCATCTTGACTTTTATCATATTCGTTTTGTAATTGCTTTATTTTATTTTGAAGGAAGAAAATTTGAAAATTAGCAAAAACACACACATAGGTAAACAATACTAACCTGAAAATTATGAAATAATTGACTGGTATTGGCTTGATTTTTTAATGAAGATTTTAATTTTTCAATCACAATGTTATCATTGTTTACTTTTTCTTTTAATTGATTACGTTCATCACGTAATGTAACGACAAAATTTTTAAATTTCATTAATTTTTCTTTTGTTTCCAATAATTCTTTTCGTAATTTATCAATTTCATTCGAATCGTTCGATGATTGATTATCATCATTAATTGAATCATCACCGGATGGTGATTGATGTTGTTGTTGTTGTTGATCATCATTCGGATGATGATCTGCTAATGAATTCATCATTTAAAATGATACAAATATTTCGTTTACAATAATAAAATTAGTAAAATTCATCATTCACAACCATCATCACCACCAACAACACTATTAATAAATTCAAATTGTTTAGGAATTGTTTTCGTTATTCGTTTAAAAAGAAAATTTAATTTATAAATCAAGATTTTTTTCTTTTTTGGTTGAAAACAGATGTTCGAAAGCTGACTGAAGTTTCAAAGAATGCACCAAAAAAAAAAAATAAACATAAACATCAGCACTCAAACGAACAACATCAAACCATTCATATAAACCATTATCATTTAAAAGTAAAGTAAAGTTGTACGAATATTTTTTCTTCAAAGCCAAACTTAAGGGGATAGAATTTTTTAAAGCGAATAAACACAATGTAAAACATTTATTCACCTAACCTCACTGAACTATGAATCTTGGTCATAATTATAGTTGTCAACCTAACCTCACTGAACTATAAGTCATAGTCATAGTCATCAACCTAACCTCACTGAACTATGAATATTGGTCATAATTATAGTTGTCAACCTAACCTCACTCAACTATGAATCATTGTCATCAACCTAACCTCACTGAACTATGAATCACAGTCATATTGATGATGACCAACCTAACCTCACTCAACTATGAATCACAGTCATTGTCATCAACCTAACCTTACTGAACTTTATAAAAAAATTTTTCAGAACCAGTGCTGCCATCTTTTTTCGAACAAAAATTTTTCAATGAGATTTGATATAAAATATGATTTAAACTCAACTAACAAAATAAAAACGATATTCATTCATTTTACGAGAAACATATTATCATCACTGTCGAATAAACCAACTGATATGGTTGGATGGTTGATTTTCCATTTGTATGAATAAAAAGAAAATTAAAAATAGATCGTTACTGTTTTCTTTCTTTATTTGCCACTATGTTTAAAAAACCCAACCAACTAACGATTGAAATTCATTTGCCAACTTGTTGTTGTTGTTGTTGTTGTAAATAGAATATTCTCTTTGTCTGTCGATCTCGAATAATGGATGAACAACAACAACAACAACAAACAACATCGACAGAAAAGAAAAAAAAAACAAAGTCAATGGCAACATTGTGATCAATGAAGGTTGTTATTCACATGCATTTTCGTTTGTGGCCTAAATTATTCTTCATTATCATCATCATTAATGGAACAATCAAATCGATAATCAAATTCAAAAAACAAAAATGTTCCCGAAATATTTGTTTAGTGAAAATCAATGGTTAATTTTTCATTCTAAAAGAATATTATTATTATCAATGTGATTTTCAACAACAACAACAACAACAACGAAAAAAATGATACAAAAATTTAAATTCTTATCCAAACGTTTGAATTCGTTTGAACAAAATGATGATGATGATGATAATACTGATCATCATCATAATCATCATAATCATCATCATCATCATACATCGGATAATAATAAATTAATTAGCCGTAATGCTGTTATATGTTCATCCGGTAAAGATAAATATCGTCATGATAGTGAACGTGCTAATCTACCCGTACGACCAGTTAATTCTGAATTGGAATTTATTCCTGAAAATAGCGATAATAATCATCATCATTATCATCATCAACATCATTATCAAAAGTTGAATTCAAATCATTCAACACAATCCAGGCAATCATCTTTATATCGTATGAATAATTTGGCAGCCACCACTTCATCCAGTCAATTATCATTATGTTCAACAACAAATCATCATCAATTAACAAGACAAAATTCAGCAACAAGTCAAATGGTCAAAAGAAATACTGTTGTAAATTGTTTAGATATGGAACAATCATTAATGATTGGTGGAAAATATCAAAATCCATGGCCAAATTATAGATTACCAACATTTACAAATATTTTGAAACTTGGTTTATCACGTGACAAAAGTAATGTTGCATCGAAAAAAGTAAATTATGATAATAATTTCTGTAAAATGAAATAATGAGAATTTTTTTCAAGGAATTAAATCAACATTTACCGATATTAGAGCCAAACATTTCGACCAAGCCACCGGAAAATTCATTTCGAATAACATGGTTAGGTCATGCTTCGGTTTTGGCCGAATTCGATAACATTACAGTATTGACTGATCCAATGTTTAGTGAAAGAGCATCACCAAGTCAAGTGATTGGTCCAAAACGTTTTCGTGATCCACCTTGTACGGTATGTAACAACAAATGGTGTCGACGATCATTTTGATCATTTCATTACGATTGATTTTATTCATTAAAAAAGGTTCATGATCTTCCATCAAATTTGGATGCTGTTATCATATCACATTCACATTATGATCATCTTGATTTAAATACTGTTGTATTATTGAATGCAAGATATGGTTCTGATCTTCGTTGGTTCATTCCTATTGGTTTAGGTTTGTTTTTTATTCGATTCCATAATAATGTGATAATCTTTGTAATATTCAAAACAAAAACATACAGGTGATTGGTTTGGTCGTGTTGGTTGTGAAAATGTTGTCGAATTAGATTGGTGGGAAGAGAATTGTGTACCGGATAAAAGTGATGGTAATTATGATGATCAACAGATATTGATATTCAATTTGATTTTTGTTTTCATTCAAATTTTAGTTTCATTCGTATTTACACCTGCACAACATTGGAGTAAACGTACATTAACCGATGATAATAAATCATTATGGGGTAGTTGGGTAGTAAAAGGTCCTCGTTTTAGATTTTTTTTCACTGGTGATACCGGTTTTTGTGATGTATTCAAACAAATTGGTTCAATATATGGCCCATTTGATGTATCGGCCATTCCAATCGGTTCATATGAACCACGTAGATATATGAAATATCAACATATTGATCCAGCCGAAGCTATTCAATTGCATAAAGATTTACGAAGTAAATTTTCTGTTGCTATTCATTGGGGTACATTTGCTTTTTCCGATGAAGTATGTATCAAGTCGATTGATTTATTATCATCATTTTAATATTTTTTCTTATTGTTTGTTTAAGCCATTTTTAGAACCACGTAATCGATTACGAATCGAAGCCGAAAAGGCTAGAATAAATTTGAAAAAATTTGCCACATTTATGCATGGTGAAACACGTATCATCACTGCTAACGGAAAAGTAGAATCAACTCATCAAAATAAAATTGTTTCATAAATCATTATCATCATGATAATTATCTTTTTTTTTTGTTGATCTTCTGTGATATTCTGTAATTTACTTAATAAATTTTAAATTTTCATTACTGTTCTACTATTTCCACATGATGAGATTGATTGAAGTTCAAATAGACGATACAAGCTGCGTGCAGATTTTCTTTTTTGGTTTTTTGTGTTTTGTTTTGAGCCATTTTCAAAAAAATATTTGAATTTTTCGACGGAAAAAAAAAACAACGAAAATATTTCAAAATGTCATTATACGATGATATAATAACACTGAATGATGAATCGACAGGTAAAACTTCGAGTATCAAATTATTACAAGATCATTTACAACTGAAAAGAACTACTGCAAAGGTAATTAGAATTATAATGATGATTTGAAAAACACGTTTACCTCACGTTTTATCTATATTCGAAGAATAATTACAAACAAAATCAATCATCATTGTATGGAGGTTACCACAGTCGAAATTTATTATCATCCAAAGTGGATGAAATTCCACCACCACCAGTTATCGATCAAATGAATATGACTAAACAAGGTGCTTCATTGCTTGGTGGTGATTGGGATCCAAAAGATGAATACGATCCACGATGGCCAAATGATTATGAAAAATTAATCAAAGAACGTAAAGAACAAGATAAAAAAGCTTCAAAAGCACAGATAATTGCAACTCGAAGTCTTGGACTAGATTATGATGATGATGAAGATGATGATGATGATGAATATGAAAACAAGAATAGTCATAATCGATCAACATCTGATTCAAAACAAAGCAAAACATTGGCTGCATTTGCACCACCGCCATCTTTATTGGAAAATGTTGAAAAAGTTACAAAAACATCAAGTACATCAAATCAAAAAACATCAAAAGGATTTGAAGTCAGTTCAGTGGCTGCCAAAATAATGGCTAAAATGGGTTACAAACAAGGCCAAGGTCTTGGTAAAGAAGAACAAGGTATTAATAAAGCATTACAAGTGGAAAAAACAAGTAAAACTCAAGGTAAAATTATTTGTGAAGATGAAAAAATGAAAATGGATGATTTGCCTATTGCTGAAAAATTGAAAAATCCATCCAAAGTTGTATTATTACGTAATATGGTTGGTCCAGGTGAAGTAGATTCAGAATTAGAACCTGAAACAAAAGAAGAATGTTCCAAATATGGTGAAGTAATTAAATGTCAAATTTTTGAGAAAAAAGATTATGAAAATGAAGAAGATGCGGTAAAAATTTTTATCGAATTTGCACATGTTGATTCAGCTATTAAAGCATTAGTCGATTTAAATGGCCGTTATTTTGGTGGCCGTATTGTTAAAGCATCATTCTATGAACTAGACAGATTTCGTAAAGGCAATATATTATAAATCGATAGATTGGGTAAAACAGATAAATTAATCGATTGAATCAATCAACACGACAATGTTTGTTAATTTGTAAACGTTTTTGTAAATTACACATATATTGACGAAAATGGCACATTGATTTATGGATTGTTCCATCTGAAGAGCTATATCATAAAAGAGATCAGGTGATTATTAATCATTGGATAATCAATTTGATCATCATCAACTTACCATATTGATTGATAATGATGATGATGATGATTATTGAATGAATTACAATTAAAATTACAAGTACAGGAACCATTTGATTGACATATCGATCCAAATCGGCAACGATTCGGTGAACAGGAAATATTTTTATTTAATGAATTATGAACACATCCTTGATTGGTTAGATGAGTATTTGTTGGACAACGATCACATCGATGACCTTTTACACCCGATTTACATTGACATTTTCCATTCGAATCATTACAATTTTGATTAATCGATCCTATTGGATTACAATTACAAGCTATTTTATTTAAAAACAATAATATTTTATCATTGTTTGTTTCCAAATGAATAAAATAAAATTCTTACGTTTACAGTCAATGTTTTTGATATGATTATTATCTTTAGTAGCCACAACAACAGCAGCATTCCAATAACCGGATGAACATGAATCACATTTCGAACCATGCCATCCTTGTTTACACAAACAATGACCAAATCTAGTATCGCATAATTGAGCAGCAGCAGCAGTGTTGGATCGATGATGATGGTGATGAGGATGATTATGGATACCATTCTTAAAACAATGACAATCTATAAATCCAGAAAAGTAATCGAAAAAAAAGACATAATCCAAAAGAATAAATCAATTCAACCATCCCCCATCCAAACAAACAAATGACACATACGATTAGTACAATTGATTTGATGTTTCGATGATTCTCCAACACCATTATTATTACATTTTTGTTGCAACAACATATCACATTCGGATTGAAATATTTGATTATTATCTAATATTTGATTTGGGAAAAAATTAAATCCAGAAAACAAAAATAAGCAGAATACACTGTTAAAAACCGCCTGAGGTTATATCCATGAGGATATAACTCCAGACCAAAAAAATATGAGGTTTAAAAAAAATTTATTCAAAAATTAAAAAAAGTGATCTGCTGGAATCTGGAATATTCGATGTTATTGTATCAAATGAAAGCTGTTAATAGGATTTTTTTTTTCATTTACGACTCGCACAAAGTCGTTTATGTGAAAGAGTTTAAGATACGGGACATAAATTGATGGATGTTTTGATACCAAGATGGGAAAAGTTAGTTCTTTCGTTATAACGCTTAGTTCAAAAATTTCTACTTTGACATATATTTCACCATTCATTTTCCAAAACGATCTTGCCTCAATCCTGATTGGCCGATTCGCCTTGCGATGTTTTTCTTCAGTGGGAAAGGTGATGGCCGCTGCTGATGAAATGGTGAAGTCGATTCCGCCATAAATTGGGGATCAACATTTTGTTGATGATTGAAATCGAATTTCGTCTGTTCATAATCTTTCATTACAATGGATTGATGATACTGGTGACGATTGGCCAACGAATAAGAAGGGTTAATGGTGTTATTTATGAGCTTTGCCCATTTCTTAAAATACTGGTGTTTCCTTTCAAATGAAAGGGTAGAGAACTGTATCAACGGACCGAACATTCGTATCAGGTCCGGATAATGTGTAAGATGGTGTAGTTTGGGTGTAATTTTAAATTCGTGATCGATTTCCAGTGCTAAACGGAATAGATTTGAAATGTTAGCACTTAATTCGCTAATTTGTTCGGTTGTTATGATGGTGCTGAAACTTATGAGACAAATCGTTTTGTATGTGGCATATAATTGAAATGCTTTGCTTGCTTCGATACGATTGGTATCAACACCAACGGCCATGGCAACTTCGACCAATATAATGTGTTCCAGGCAAACGATAAGTTCAGATAGATGAATCATATCGCCTGAAAAAACAAAACCACCGGCAACAGATCGAACTGAAAACGGAGTATCACAGTATTGTGCTCCAGATATAAGGCTTGCTAATAATGACTTGTTGTGGATAAATTCATCATTAATTGTCATAAGCACCAAATTCAGAATTCTTTCAAGACAAGTACTTTCGATTAGATCATGACATACATCACATGGAAATATGTTCCATGGATGGATGGAATGGCGCTTTGTTGCAAATTTAAACTTTCGATGCAACCCAAATCTATCCTGAACCCCACACAACGGGAGAAAAATACCCTCAGATTCTGTGACCAGTTTCCAGTATTCTTCGACATCGGTTTCGGTTCCAAATATCGGGCGATTCAGAACCCCTGATTGCATAGTTATAATATCTGCCCCGCAAAGACGGCAACGATGTGCAACGTCAAAGTTACCATTGTATCCTGTTAGTTGGTAAGCGGTTTTCGAATCGCCTGAAAATCCTAACAATAAGGAATAAGGGTCATTTCGTTTTATTAAAAAATAAAAATAAAATACCTGCCAATGTGCAAGGAATGTTCACTGAAGTGCCATCATTGAAGTACTTGGTTACACCATTATCCATAATTTCATTGATTTCGGATGCAATTTTTTCGAGAATTAGATCTAAAATTGTATTATCCACATTCTTATGATTGCATATCAAAATTAGTTGCGTATCTCTTCTTTTTAACCTATCTTTGTAAGGAATATTCATAACTGTGCAATAAACTACTAAGTAGTTGTGTTTGTTTGCTGAATTGCCAATTGGATTACAGATCCCAAATTCGTCCGAATATAATAAAATACGAAGTTTTCCTTTAATTCGTTCCCAGCGTTTACGTTCGCAGCATAACTCGTTATTGTAGGTGCTGAACTCATAGTTCTGGTTTCTTTCGTTATTGATGTGATTGATCAAAGACTTGTTGTTTAAAATTTGACTGACGATTTCCTTTATTGAAATATATTGGTAATTAAGACCTGGGACGTTTATTGATTTAGGCTCTATCAATGTACCTAAGCTTTTAACGTAAATTCTTTGAAGATATAAATTAGATGCAAAGATTTGAACAGTGGATATTAGTTTTGAGATTTCATCATTCATTTCATCAGCGAATATTTCCAACAAATCGTTCAACATTGATGATATTAATCGTGAAAAGACTGACTCTGACACACCTTCGGTGTATCTATATGTGATGATTTTATCAAACATTTTGAAAATTTTTTTTGAAATATTTGGTTCAAAATCTTTTATTTTTTTCAAAAAATTGCTTGATACATCAGCAACAGGTTGAATAATTTCCATTGATGCATCAAGCATATTGGTATCAGGAAGGTTTTCGGCTCTAATTTCTTCATCTGCACAAGTGACAGCATGAACTTGATCATAAATAACTTGATCTTCACCGGTTTCTTGTACGTTTTGTCCAGTACCGTCGGTCAAGTGATTATTGTGCTTTTTTTTCAGGTGAGAACGAAATCCGCTGCGAGTATATCCTACCCATCTACATTCTGAATGGGGACACTCTACACCATTTTTCTTCATCAATCCGTTGACGTTAAATGCTTCTATAGTTTTTATTTTTTCGAAAGTCGTTTCATAAATCGTTCCACTGAAAATATTCTTTCTTGTGCTCATGGCTGTTGAAACAAATTAATAAACACTAATTTTGAGCACTACAATAATCAAACTTGAAAATAAACTTCACGATCGCAGCACAATTAATTCTTATATATCGATTAATATAAGTAATATTCAAAAACAAGAACTACTTGAAACAATTTCGGATGGCAATTTGGGAACACCATTGAATCATTATCATCAACACCGAATCTAGATAAATTTATTTTGTTTGTTATTAATCGTGTTGATGAATCTTAATATTTCTTTATTTGTTTGAACGTATATCCATTGAAAATGTTTTTGAAATAGGGGCGAGTGTTAATGAATGAACTATTACTATATTTCAAAAACATTCATATGGCTTGAACTTTAGTTCAATATTTAATTTCTGGATAAAAACATTGTGTTTTTCTTGTTATATTTTCCATTTGGGTTCATTTTTTATTTTTCATTTTTTTCAAGTTGTTTTTCATAAGTAAATATTAAAATAAAGAATATAATTATGTCTGAAACATCATCACTTTCTTCACTAACTTTATCACCATCGACACAATCGACACCATCATCATCATCACCACCCATAAAAGTCGGGTCTTATTTGAAAAGTGGTACTTTTAAAATCAGAAACTATAATTTCCCAGACTTGACACCCGGTTTGGAAAGCATATCTAATAATGAAATGAACGTTTCTGAGCTTTTGAAGATGGACATATTGTCGGCAATCAGAAGTTATTGCGTTGAAGTTGAAAAATTATTGTCCGAAGATTTTTACCTTGTTGCTCCCATCAAAATATTGGAGCAAATTTCCAGTAGAGTGGAAGAAGAACAAATGTTCAAAATGACTTCGGTCAATTATCTTAAATACATCAAGATACCTTCGGAAGAAAGAATTCGCTCTGTAAGGAAACTAGTAATGAAATTGGCGAAAGAGCCTCCGAGTAGTTTTGAAGTAAATTAATTAAAATGATTTGCTTTTTTATGTTTTTCATCAATTTGCCTTATTTTGTTTGTTTCTATTCAGGAATGCTTCCTTCAATTTCTTATAAGGGCGAGGGAGAGCAGAAAAGAAAGATTGAAAAGCTCTCAGAAGTGGGTATATCCGCCTGGGCCGTCCCAAGAGCGGAGAAAAGAAGCCGCTAAAAGCCGGGCGGCCCAGGCGGAAGAAGCCAGAAAGCGGAAAAGCAGAATGACTTTGAAAGGGCAGATTGAGGAATTAAAAATGCAACTGAATGAAAAAAACACGTTAATTTCTGCATTAGAAAAAAAGATAAGGGATTTGGAAGAAGAGAAAACGAAAACGAAAAAGAAAAGAAAAACAAAAAAATGATTTAAATTGTCATCTAATTTCCATCCATGGACTGGTCCTGAATTTAATAAATTTATGTGTATTTTTTTAATCTGAAAACTGAATATCATCAATAG